CGGCAACTGGTAGATGGTACAGCCATCGCGATTGCGCGAGCCCCTACCAGAAATTCGTTGCGCCGCCCTTGGGGGCAAAAAACGGTGAAAGCTAACGTACGAAACCAGAGGGCAGCACAGGATGCGATCGCGCGACCCTGCCCGTGAGCAATCTCCCAACTCATCTCTGCTCCCAACTCATCTCTAATTGAAACTTTGGAAGTGGGAGGTCCAATGTGGTTCAATAGGTTCAATGCGAAGCCTAGATTGGTCTAGATATATATATATATGGTCTAAGGATACAAGACGAACCGGTGCAGGTTTTAGGTTACAATCACTTACGGTTACGACTATATTTGTTTGATAAAGCAATTTTTATTGATTTCAACTTTAATCAAACAGACTCAAAATGGCAATATTATTAAAGATCTGTGAAGGTCTAACCGTGTGTGGAAAACTTTTAAAACCAAGGTACGTACAGAGATGAGCAGGGTACGTATGAACGTGCCAAATGTCTGTAATTCCATTTAATTTGAATTCTTCAAGTTGTCGTTCATTTTAAAACAGGTTTGATTGTACTACTATATCTGTCCGGGGGCGAAAAAATTTAAACCCACCTCCGAGGAAGCGTTTCCCTCCGTGGTTTACTAAACAACACCGGGTGGTTTGTACCATTGAATGTAGTACAAAAGTTTCTGCCTCAATCAAATCTTCGTCACAATATTAGTTAGATATTGCTTTATTGCAGTTACATAAAGAGGAAATTACGCCGGAGAATACTAAATTTATTAAAGAAGTTATCGATACACAGTATGGAATAGCTGCAAATCGGGTTTCACCTTTAAAAGCAGTGCCAATTGAACCCAACATAGAATGGAAAAGGGGACTCCAACGTACGGGACTTATTGCAAAGAAAATTGGAGTATATCCAATGTGGTTGAAAAATGGCAGAAAAGTTTTGACTACTCTTCTACAAGTAGGAATTTGTGCCTTTTAGTATGAATAGTTTTTATTCTTCTATTTTGTGGATAATTTAAATATAAATTTCTGTTTTCTTCAGATAGTTGATAATCATGTAATAAAATATATACCACCCGAAGAACATAAACCAATGATACGGAGGACTCTTCCATATGATTACCAAGAAAAACGTGCATGTCTTCTTATTGGTGCAGAATGTGAGGACCCTCAATTGGTATGAATTTAGACTTCTATAATGTTTTAATATACCATACATTTTGAAACACAAAATAAGAATTACGTTTTCCAATTTATGGCCTATGCTACACACTAATTTGTTTTATTTTTAAATTATATAGTTTACAAAAGCGTACTGTGGTCTATTCCAAGATTCAGGTGTAATGCCAACACGCTTTCTAATGAGATTTTTAGTATCACCGGAAGCTGCATTACAACCAGGCACACCGTTATATGTAAACCATTTTAAGCCTGGCGATTATGTTGATATACGTGGCAAAACGTATGTAATCATATTTTACACATTCATGACTGATCCTCAATGTCTTGATATTAAATTTCCTTCTGTCATGTGGCATTCTAATTGCACAGGATGGATCGTGGTTTCCAAGGTGTCATGAAAAGATGGGGATTTCATGGAATGCCAGCAAGTCATGGAGTGACAAAATCGCATAGAAGACCAGGAAATATTGGTTCTGGAGGGACAAAAGCCCGTGTAATGCCTGGAACTAAAATGCCAGGACATATGGGAAACCGTTATCGCATATTTAGAGGATTAAGGGTAACATTTAATTACTCATTTTTTATACAAAAGGAAAGATTTTTGTCATTCTATGTTTTATATTGTTTGAGCAGATTCTGCGGATAAATACAAAGTACAATGTAATGTGGGTGCTTGGACAGCAGGTGCCTGGTGAAACGAATAATGTCATTCAAGTGTTCGATTCACTTCTCAGGCACAGACGACATACAGTTGCTCCACATTTCCCCACGTATTTCCCTACAAACGAACAGGAACCTCTTCCGGAAGAGATCTTAGCCGATGATGTTCATCCATTTGAAGCCAAGTCTATTACATTTAGTGAAGAGGAAGCGTAATTGTAAAACTGTAGCTTTTAATAAAGAGGATATTACGAATGTACATATACAGAGCGTAGTCTTTACGATTGGATTCGTGTACGCATCTCGCGCGCATTCAGTCTTTAATGATAAATCACTAATTTCACTTCAGATATAAGAGGCAAATCGATCATGATAGTCACGACGAATTTACACTACTATTTTATTGTTGCGCCTTCTTACAGAACGTCCATAATTATTCTTTATACTAATTAAGAGTAGTTAATCAATTTATTTAGTAATCAATATCGTTATAAATTTAACATGCCTAAAATATACACGAATCGTTTATAAATGTAACATCGTTAACCAAGCCTCGGTCCTAGAATGAGAGTAGAGAGCAGCATGGATGGACGAAACAAAATTCTTTTACTTGATCTGTCAAATGATAGTCTCCAATAGCAGTGTCACAAAATAATTTGTATATCTTCAAATAGTTCACTTTTTTTTTTAAATGTAATTTCTATCGCAATAAAAGCAATGCGATGGAAAACAATACAATCTAGTTTCTTGTTATGAATCGTTTCTCCATAAACTTCGTACTCTCTCAGAGTGCTGACCAAAGAAGAGGTCTACACACAGGCAGGCCAGTCGTATTCGCGCTGTCTTCGAGTCGATTGAAGTCGAAGTCCTGTGTTTTGCTGCTGCGTATTACTGACGCAACGTGTCAATGGAGCAAGAGGGTCATGCCGAAGAATTGAAGGAAAAGCAGAATGGCTCCTCGCTGGAGTTTGTCGGGGGACGGCAAAATTCGATGGAAAAATGGAGGCCGTCTCAGAATTTAAAACCATCATTTGGAATAGTCGTCGTTGGATCAAACTCAAATGCACCCTCGGTAGCATGTGTTTCTAAGCCTGCGCCATCAACCTGAAGAAGATATCGATAAGATTAGAATTTTACATGTGAGAAACTAACATGTGACACAAAGTCTCTTGAATTTTATACTAAGTTATGTAATTATGTACTTACTTCTTCCGAAAAGTACTGCTCAATAATGTCATATGCTAACTTATAAATGTCCACATTTTCATGGTTCTGCAACGATTCTATTTTGTCCAAACCTGATAACAGATACACGTCACATAATGATAATACAGGCATTTTTCAATGTAAAATAATAGAAAATGTACTTAATTTTGATACAGACCTGAACATTCTTCGATCATATTTGCTAACTGTTCGACCTGTTGTCCGGCAGATTTAAGCATGTTATGAATTCCATCGAGCACAACTTGTACAACCTGTGTATCTTTGCATACGAGGAGATTACAAAATGGTGCAATTACTCCTTCCCGAATAAGTCGTGCAATCTGATCCTTATTACCGCTTATCGTTAAATTACTAATTGCCCATGCAGCCTCCTTCTGTGTTTGAAATTCTCCCTAAAATCATTTGTTTGTTAATGAGAGTTAAAGTAAGTCAATATTGTTAACTTTCCATTGCAATACAACTGTAACTAATTTCATTGATCCTTAATGATCTTAAGTACAGTATCTCAGTGTTGACAATATCACAGACGAAAGGAATATGAGCGCAGTGAGTAATGTTCATGGAGTTATGTCACATACCTTTGAAAGATTTTGAATAATGAGCGGCAATAAACCAGCATCAATGACAGCTTGTACTTGCGACTGATTGCCGGCGGTAATATTAGAAAGAAACCATACAGCCTCTTTACAAATCTTTTCTTTAGAATGAATGAGCAAATTTGGGAAATAAGATAACGCGTCGCAATTCAAAACAACTTGCGTCTGTTCATCAGTGCCTGTGACAATGTTACCAATCGCCCTCAGGGCAGCAGTTTGAACTTTTACTTCTTTATGTGAAAGAAGTGGAATCAGCTTTGGTACAACGCCACTGTCTATTACCATTTGAATCTGGTCATTCCCTCCATCGGTAAGGTAACTCAATGCCCAGACGGTGTCGACAAGGGTCTAAAATATTGCAATATTAGTTATAGAATTAACTGTTTGTATACAATATCTGAATATCAGGAATATAACATTATAAAACTCAAAAATCATTTGAAGAGATATGTACATACATTAATATCATTGTGATGTACGAGTAAATTGAGTGCAGGCAATATATCCTTTATTGTCTGAACAGGTGGTGGTGGTTCCTTGTTTCTGCATAAATTAACAATTACCCACGTTACGTTACGTAAAAACGTGATAGGTATGTCTGGCTTGATGAATGTTAAAAGTGGTGGAACTACCCCAAGATTGATAACGTAATCTCGCAGAGTTGGTCCATCACCAATTATGTTTCCTATAAAAATAATATACTTGTTTTCACTTATTCCCAATTATCTCATTTGTACATTAAATTAAAGTACTTCTTATATTAATACGTTAACAATCAACATTACCTAGAGCCCAAACCGCCTGTTCACAGACATTTTGTGTGTTCGATAAAAGCAAATGCAGGAAGAGCGGAACGGCTCCAGCTTTGACAACTGCTTGAGTTTGTGCCGATGTACCACTTGCTATATTCGTTAATGCCCATGCAGCTTCAAATTGTAATGATGGGCTACCAGAGAATAAAATTTATATATTACATTACATCATCTTAGGGAAACATTATGATGATAATATTAAATATTTTTTTACCGGTCATGCTGTTCCAAACAGTGAACTAATATTGGTAATATACCACTCTCAATTAATGGGTCAATAGGTGGATTACGATCTGACGAAAGCAACTTTCGAGCCGACTGTACAGCTTGTAGTTGCTCAGCTGGATCTGAACTTCCTGCTTTCTGTACTAAATCATTCAAATCCATATTGGATAAATTCTTATCGATATCATCCTCATCTGTTACGAATACATAAAAACATTAGATCATTCAATTAAATCTACAGGCGATGCACTTATTAAAGCAATTTTAAATAACGAAGGTGATAAGATAAAATGAAAATGAAATATGAAATGATAATGCAATTTACCAGTAGAATCTGCAACTGGTACATTTCTCCTTTTTTGTAAAGTTTCTTCTCGTTTATTTTTGCGTAATTCTACAGTTACTTCATTCCGCCTCCTACGCATTTCCTACAAAAAAAAAAAGACAAATGCATACCACATAATACTAAAAAGTATATAATTTTATCATATAATTAAATTTTTCAAAAATCCCATCGATGCTTTTCGTCTAATTTACCTATATAAAAAAAGATTAATTTTTCGGACAACACAAATTACATTCCGCTATATGAATTACTCTGCCAATTTTACTTCGCTTGTCCAGTAATTTTACTATTATATATTTGAACCTAAATGACGATCTTTGTATTCTAAAAACGTGGATAGTACTTGATGTAGATGTATGGAACGTCAAATCATCATGTAAAAGTTAAAATGACTTTTCATATAATGGAAAACTATCGGATTAACCGAGTTATCGCTTTCTAACTAAAAATATTCAAGTCCGGGAGGAAAATAATATTAACAACGAGGTCGGAGTAACAGCGTGTTTGCACAATGGAAAGCAGCGTGATCGCCGATCTCCTAACGATGCACGAAGACGCTGGACTCCAACCGCGATATTTAACCACCGATTGAAGGGGAAATATGCCCATGGTACGCTCTGCATAGTACTTACATCCTGATCTTTCCCTTTGTTCTTAAAAACCATCATTCGGTTCTTGTTTAACATTTCGGCCGCCATTTTTACAATAACCAATCTTCGTCTGAAGCAGATTGATGTACCGGTGCCGGGGTGACCGTACAATGAAATAATTATTTCCCTGCGACTCCGCCTTCTTATTTCCGTAACTGCATTCCGTCGCGCGATATTCAGTATATTTCACTATGCAATACCCTGCATAACAGTCTTCTCCTCGGTTATCACACAAATTCAGTCACGTTTCTTCGCACGAACACAGTTCCGGACGTTCAGAAAAACCGAGAAGGCTCAAGAACGGGGTGTTCCGAAAGTCATCCTTTCTATTTCCTCCATATAGTAACTTTACATCAAGGTGCTATTTCTACGGCTAGTATTTCATTAGTGCTACAGTGACAAGCGATAAAGCGACGAGTAGCGAATAAGAGGTTCTGATTGGTTGCAGAAAAACGGCAGAATGAGGGAACATCCGTCGCACGTTCCCTGCAACCAGTCAAAACCTCTTATTCGCGCTTCGTCGCTTCGCCGCTTGTCGCTGTAATTTCGGCTTTAAAAAGCATCAAATAACAATATAGGATTTGAGCATCTATAGAGTTTTTGAATTCTTTACTCTGGGTCATACTTGAGATTTTTCTATTCGGCATTTCTGGCGTTCTACCGTTATCGTGTTCGATTATAATTCGATCGAATCTCGACACATTTAAAGTCACTTGATCGATCGATGGGTATTAATCATTGAGGCAACTGAATGCAGTTAATAATTATTAATTGCAATCCATGAATTTGTCTTGCATTAAACCTGAACTTTGACTTCCGAAGTTGATTATTCACGATTTTTCTCATTTATACATCATGTTTTAATTATGGCGTTGCAATTATTAACCGAACAGCATATTTTAATACGTTCTTTGTTGATGAAAAGAAGATCGGTACTTGTTCATGATTCTCAGACATTGATTACAAGAAATGGGAACAAGATTCCAGAGTGTTAGTTAATAATCAAGAGTAATATAATTAATTTGAGAGTTATAAGTTTCGTGTTAAGATGTCTCGATCCCATGGTGCAAATTCTTATGATTCGAGAGGTGGTAGGCGAAGTACGTTGATAGTTTTCTTAAGTTTGCCATTAGATGATCGTTTTCATACTATAACCTATGTATTTATTAGTTCTCCACATTTTAATGTGTTGAAACTGTATACATTAATTAATAAATAACTATAATTCTGATAAATTATTACATTTGTAGATGGTATACTCAGACGTGCAAGAAACTTTCTGTTTGGCAAATTTCTTATAATAGTAATCTATATGTGTACACATAAAAATAGTAACTAGTTCAATTTATTTTGAAAGTATGAAATCGATTTTGATTTTTGTATCTGTACTAGGTGGAATAAATCGTGGTCACAAAACAGGACGAGGGCCACCATCGGGTGTTTCGGTACATTCAGACCAAAGCCATTCGCATAGAGGCCACCCCCCACATTTGAAAGGGAAAGATATTGGACTGTATTACAGAGATAAAGCAAGACAGCGAAATGCAAAAAATACTTGCAAAGTTATCAAATTAAAAGAAAATGTTGAACAAGAAATCAGAGCGTTACTTGAAAATACTAGGAACCCATTTATTAAACAATATGGAGATGTCAATGATGCTGGTTCCTCAAGCGATGACGTGGAAAAGAAATATGCACAGATGGAATCTCAATTAAAAAAAGAATTTTTACAAATTTTATCTGGTAGTATGCAAAATAATCTAGCAATGTCGGTATTGAGAGAATCTAAATTGAAAAGAAATGATACAATGAATAAGAAGTTATTAGACGAGCTCAAAGCAAGAGAAACGTCAAGTGAATATACACACATGTTACAATTTCGAAAAAAACTTCCAGCCTACAAAAAGAAAGAGGAAATTATTAAATTAATTAATGACAATCAAGTCATTGTCATCAGCGGTGAAACAGGTATATTAAAAAATATCTACCCAATTTCCTTGATTAAACGATCTCGTGGCTAATAGATTTTGAATGTTGAACACTACATTTCTTGATGAATATAAGATAAAATGCATTTGTATTAAAAGCTGGATAAGATGTTTTATATTCTACTATTTCTCAAATTGCAGTACTAACTCGTAAAAAGTATTTAATTTAATGCTTTTTCAGGATGTGGTAAAACAACACAAGTTGCTCAGTTCATGCTTGACGATCAAATTGAGCAATTCAAAGGTAGCGAAACAAAAATAATATGTACTCAACCACGAAGAATATCAGCAATCTCCGTCGCAGAGAGAGTTGCTGCAGAAAGGGCAGAAAGACTTGGACATTCAGTTGGCTTTCAGATCAGACTTGAAAAGTACATTATTATGATTAATTTTGGACTATAGTTACATAAAAGTACTTTCTTGATGGTTGAAAGAAAGTAGTATGTTTATCTTATTTGTTACAGAGTTTCAGCTAGAGACCGTGGAAGTATTTTATATTGTACAACTGGAATGTTATTACAATTTATGCAGATCGATCCTGCTTTAATGGATTATTCTCACATAATATTAGATGAGATTCATGAAAGGAGTACAGAGTGCGATTTTATACTTGCTCTGTTGAAACATGTTATACCTAAGGTAAGTGTTTTTAAGTTTACAATTTGTATTTTCTGGTTATAATAACTTCTTATTTCATGATTCATAAGTGTACACAGTTTATGAACAAAAGCATCTCGTTTCAGAGACCAAATCTAAAAGTAATTTTAATGAGTGCTACGCTTAATTCTGAGCGGTTTTCTCAGTATTACAATAATTGCCCCAATATTCATATACCAGGATTTACGTACCCTGTAGAAGAGTTATATTTAGAAGATGTACTTGCAATTACTAGGTATGTCCTTTTTTGCTAATAAATGTATTTTAAATTACGAAGCACTGTCATGACTTATTAATAATTAATTGTGGAGGTTTCAGTTCCCTGAACAACCATCACAGCCGGTTAACTATAGAAAACATTCACAGAAGTTTAAGAAGGAACAGCGGAAACGGGATGATTTCCTTGACTTTGTCGCTCCTTATGTACGTCATCTTCGTTCAGAGGTATGTATTTATACAGTTTATCGTCAGTAGATTAGTCTTTTATTAACTCCACAAATGTTAAATGCATCGGAGAAGAAAACATATTTGATTAATTTAATAGTTGTACAGCTGTTAAAGTTTGCCTGTAATAACTCAGTTTATTTAGTTTTATAATTTGGATATGTACGTAAGAATTTAAGAAAACATGTTTTTTAGAAAAAATATCCAGAATACGTTCTAAGTCAACTAAAGAATCCAAACAGTGAGAATCTTTCTCTTGATCTCATAGATCAACTAGTGAGATACATATGTATGACTCAAGGACCTGGGGCCATTCTAATTTTTTTGCCTGGTTTGATGGATATTTCAAAGTTACACAGGATGATGTTAGAGAGCGGTCAATATCCTCAAAGTAAGACAGTTTCTGGCGATTAATTTACCACTTAATATTTAAATTATAGTTGAAACTTATACTTAGACAGGTACATTATATACTGTCTGCACTCTCGAATGCCCACGGTTGATCAAAAGCTCATATTTAATACACCGCCAAATGAAGTTCGTAAAATAATAATTGCAACCTCAATTGCTGAAACATCAATAACGATAGAGGATGTTGTATACGTAATCGATTGTGGAAAAACGAAGTTATCAAGATTCGACGTGGAAAATAACATGCAAACTCTGGAAGCAGAATGGTTGTCTTTAGCTAATGCTAAGCAGAGACGTGGCCGAGCGGGCAGGTATGTAAATTTATAAAAATTAAAGTATTACTAACGTTTTTATATACTAAAATTGCTTTAAACAATACATTTTATTGTTTTACATATCAGAGTTAAACCAGGAATTTGTTACCACCTCTATACAAAAGCTAGAGAGATGACATTTGATCAGTATCCTTTACCTGAAATGTTAAGAACTCGACTCGAAGAAGTTATATTACAAGAAAAAATTCTTCAACTAGGAGACGTGGCTTCGTTTCTTTCTTCTGTTATGGATCCACCAGATTCAAAAGCTATAGAATTATCTCTTGAATTATTACGAACACTTAATGCTCTTGATGAGAGGGAACGTTTAACTCCTTTAGGCTATCATTTAGCACAATTACCACTTGATCCTAGAACAGGTATGTTTAATTTGTTCATAGTGTCATTCACTACATCCAGATATGACCTAAAATCACAATTACGTTTTACCAGATCAAAACGTTTGAGTTAAATATGTAACTTTGTTTTTGAATGTCCATTTTAGGTAAAATGATTATACTAGGTGCTCTTTTTTCGTGTGTGGAGCCGATCTTCGCAATAGCTGCTAGTCTATCGTTCAAAGATGCTTTTTATTGCCCTCTTGGGAAAGAGGATGAAGCTAGAAAGAAGAAACTTGAATTAGGGCGAGATCAGCTGAGCGATCATGTGGCTCTTGCCGAAGCCTTAAGACGATTTGAACTGGCCTATAATAGAGGCTACGCATCATCATTTTGCAGAGAATATTTTCTCTCCTTTAATACACTTAAACTTCTCTGTGATATGAAAAGTCAATTTGCTCGACACTTATGCGAAAAGAAGTTCTTATACAGTGATGATCCGAGGGACGATCGCGCTAACAGAAACTCAAGTAACTTGGCGTTGGTGAAAGCTATCGTTTGTGCAGGATTATTCCCAAACGTGGCTGTTATCAAGTACGACGCAATATTAATAGTCTCTCCTTATACACATATGATTCTTTCGTGTTTGCAACTTCTTTTTTTTTTGTTAGGAGCGTAGGAAAATTTGGAGTAAAAGCGACAACACCCGAAGACGGTACAGTGGCAATTCATCCATCAAGTATAAATGAAAAAGACTTGCCCAAAGTGTGTATTGGTCACTACATGACATACTTCTTAAAGAAACGCTCAACAGCTATCTATCTGCATGACACAACTATAGTCAGTCGTATGGCTTTAATACTTGCAGGACCAAACAGTTCGATAAGTATGTTTCTATAATTGTTACTATATTCTGAAGGAAGGGTTACCCCTCGTTCCAAATGACTTATTAAATCGTCCTTTTAATCTGATATTTCAGCTAACAAATCAGGGAAATGTCTTGTTACATTAACAAACTCCCTTGCTTTTCCTTGTGATCCTGGAACTGCTCAAATTATTCAGGTATTTTGCATTAAATTTTTTGTTGAATGGTAAGAAAGTGGCGAAAAATTCGGTGAAAACTAATATTAAATATTTTCCAGAAATTACGCGAAAAGTTGGACCAACTCCTAGAGTATAAAATCACTCATCCAGGTTCCGTACGATTGGATGGACAAGAAGGAAATATTCTGAAGTATGCTTCCATAAATGTGTCATTTTACTTATTAAATGGAAGATGTAAGATAGAAGCATGAAGTTAAATATTGTTTCAGAGCGTTCGTGATTCTGATGATCCACGGAGATGAAGATATGGAGCTAGGTATTCCGAAAAATGATATAGCTTCGTTTGGAAGCGGTAGTCAAGAGTCTCTTGAGGATTATGACTTTTAGAGTGAACACGAGTATTTGTAACTGCTCTTAAAATTGATTTAGAGCCGAGTCTCTCCGTTATCGCGATACCTGTAAACTTTCAAGGGACTAGGATGCGGTTTGTGCCAATAGCATAATTTAATATAATAATTATGGAGTGTAGTAACAGTACATTTAATGTACGAAAGTTAACAAATCGTTTATGGCAGTTGAGCGGATTCCTTTTGTCAACGTTTCGTAAGTTTTAAATAGTTAACCTATGATTCTGTGTAAATTATACATCGATGTTTAGTGTGTCTACTTATTATTATTATTTAAGTAATGTTAAACTAATCAGCTCTTATATAAATATTTCTTGTCCTTGCGAAGATTTATTCATCCTCTAATGAAAGATGAAGAGATAATAACGTAGAAAATACCCCCATTTTAAGAATACGGTTATAAAAGCCAAACCGAGTATACAAACTCATTAAAGTAGAGTATGCAAGTTTTAAACTGCACTTCCCCCCAGTTAAGGATTAAGGAGTAATGCTAAATTATGGGACAGGTAAACGACGTGTACATAAACTGCACTTTTTACCCTACGTACGGGGGAATTAAAGTTTGCCAATATGTCTGACATTTCTGTTCGAAAAGTGTACGTATCTCCACCGTGTTCTCCATAAAATACGCCTGCGTGGTTGCAGTTGGATAAAATAGTGCACCCGGAATGTTGAGCGGTGCAAGATCTCAATGAATTCGAATCGAGTGTAATCTCGTCGCCGTTTATCGTCCCACTAAAGCACAACTAGCTAGCTTGCGTGATTTCATTTCATTTACGTGAGTCATACTGGAAGTATGCACATGCATCTCGATAGTTGACCGCTCTAAGGAAAGTTGAACAGCCGTGAACCGTGCCGGCGTAAGTCGGGTGTCGTGCCGGTAAACTGCGACGTCGGACGCAAGTGCGTGTACATATGAGGACGTACGTGCAGAGCTATGCTCGCGCAAGTACAATGTGTCCATTTAAAAGTAACAATTATCAATTATGCCGTATAATGTTTCCTGCCAACGACAGCAAGTGCCGTCGCGTTAGAAGCAAATACGAAGTCGTACCTCCACTCGGTACCGTGTCAATGACATCATTAATTAATTCCATCGGTCAGCGATGCGAAGAAAAAAGCGTGTCGTTTAAACAAAACGTTAAGAAGCTTGTACGTATTTCATGGAATTATCGTTTAGCGTAAGAGCGCACTTCGGCGCGAACGGCATGACGCGGTATTTGCATTTACTAAGCAGAGTTCTTAGACGAAGACCAAGAATGACGACGATCGCGTCATTTTTGACAACGCCTAGCGGATCAATTTGGCCTTTGTTAACCGATCTAATCGTGTCTGGAAATGCTCGATAAGTATACGGTAAAATTAGCCTTTATTCCGCGCATGGTTGAGCGACATATGAGCGTAATATTTGCGGTCAGATCAGTATGCTCGGCGCTCTGCGGGCCAGTTGGGATGCACGACGCCTCACCGGAAATGCAATTATTGTATTCCCCCTTCGCTACTTTTCTCTCTCGATCTCATTACCTGCCTACTTCCCTTCGTCTCTCTTTCTCGCTCGCTTATCCTCTTTCCCTTCGCGTCCATCTGTCCCGCTCGCTCTCGCGCGTAACCATCATCCTTCTCCGCTTCTCTCTTCCTCTCTTTACCGGCGCACAAGTGCAGAGTCGTTGGACTTGCACGGATAGTGGCAGAGCGCTTGTCAAAAGCTTCGCCGAGGTTTACGTGCATAATAAAACTCGGGCCGAAGCCCTGGAACGTTGTCCACCTGCTAAAACTCCGTAACCCATTACCGCTCGCGTCACATCGATGTAACATTTTATACGAAACTCTCCTCAACGATAACGAAATTCTCCCCACGCCTCTTCCTTTTTCCTTCGAATACGACGATACTTATACAGGGGAATGATTTTCTCCACGCAGGTGCAGAGTCGTTCGAAGGTGCGCTGATAGCAACGGAGTGCTTGGCAAAAGCTGCGACACGACTTACTCGTGTAATAAAACTCGGGGCAAAGTCCCCGGACGTTAGTTACCTCCCGAGGCTCTTCGATCCACTCTCTCCTCTTGGCAGCGAAAGGGTTAAAACGAGCTTACTCAGTTTTCTTTTCCAGGGAAGTCATCCCTCGCTAAATATCCCAGGTCGGCCCCTGACGGACGTGAACGTCCACTCTACCCATGTGGGGTCGCCAGGATGAGAAAGGAAATCATTCATCTCCCCCAGGGTACACTGCAAGCCTTGGAGGAAAATAACATCGCTGCGAAGTACTTTCAATGGAGGACCCCCTTTACAAATCGAGCCTTGAAAAAAAGTCCTTTAAGATCGTACAGTTAAGGTGTTATTCACGGGTCATTCTAAATATATCGAAACGTGAAAAGAAGAACGCGACGCTTGTAAAATTACATTTATCAAAAACAAGGCTTTTTTCATCTATCCCAGACTAGAGCCAAGGACACACGGGTATTCCTTTTTGTAGAAATGAAATTTCTGAGCATCGTCATTTCCCTTTCCATAATCACGCGTCCATGTTCCAAATGATTCGGTGCACCTAATTTGAAGAAAAGTTTCGATACATCTATACATCATTCTACAATGACTCTTTCATGATATCTTAATCGCACGTGGGATCGGTAACAGAACGTGGAAAAAGTGGAAATACCTCGGCGGTGTTTCGATGTTTTCGTTCACCCTGCATTCTCTAAGAGAGCATACGGCCAGGTCGTCACATCGGAATCGGTCCCGTCGTTCTCTCCATTTCTCATCGCTGCCCCACGACAGATGCGGTCATTTTCACTCCAAGTTCAAGACCCGCCTTCTGAGAGCGCGGCTTCCACCGGTCGGCGCATCACCTGGAAGTGGTAATGCGAGATTGGTAAAGAATCTAAACGTTCGTCTCCCTTTTTTCGCCTCGCTCTTTCCGAGAGTTCGGAAAGTCCTGGGTTTCTTGCCGCGACCCGCTAACCCCTCGCCCCTTTTCCAAAGTCTCTCTCGATTTCCCTTCCACGATTTTCCACGCGCGCTCACCCGCACTCGAGCTCGACGCCGAGTTTCTAATGCGCCGACCTCGCGGAGATAACGTCTCTCTCTCGAGAGAGGTGGTGTACGTCGCCTCGAAGAATTCGCCATAAATCAAGGATTTTTGAAAGCGCCTCCTCCCTTCGACGGAAATTACGGTGATTGATGTTTTCCTCCGGCATTGTTATTATGCCATCGAGATCATCAAAGAAACATGGGCGAGTTCATCCGCGATACCAGCGTCTGCTACAAACACGCATCTACGGGGCGCTTTATGGGTTTAACATAAAAGTACAATAATTATATTGAAAATGTACTGCACTTTTAATCCTTCGTAACCCCAAACCTTTTCTCCAAGTCAAGGAAAAGCCGACGTAACGTGAAATTTGCAAATATTAACCTTCTCGAATTAACAATTTGTTTATACATGTTCATCGATTGAAACGTTTATAAAGGTGAATTTACATACGAATACCTTGGTTGTAAAAGGGTGGGACGATAACGTGCTACATAGGATTGTTGGGAGGTCAATTAAGACTTAAAAAATATTGACATTCAAGAGGGTGACGTTGAAATTCACGTGACGTTGTAGAGGGTTAACATTCCTTTAGCTTCAGATTCGGAGTACATGACAGGAGTTTTGACAAATTAAGTAAATACCTTTCAGAGTACAGAAATTCAGGAGGGGTTCCGAATTTGTCCGGATTACAAAGGAGGCAACCAAGCATTCAATCCTGCTCGCAAATCCCGATAAATTCTCTCAAAAAACTTCACATCGCCTTAAGCGGAAGTTTATTTACGTGCGGGTGAAGTTCTCTAACGGGGGTTCTCGTAGTACAACGAAGCTGACACCGCTCGCGGTTTCCGCAGAGGCTCGTACCGTTACCCTCGAGAATACCGGCGAGAGTGATGGGAAATGGAGGTTAGTCAGGCGATAAGGCTCGAGAGGAGGCTGAGACGATATCTCGGATACCACCGATGTCACGAACCGCCGAAAAAAAAAAGGAACACATTAATCGTCCAAAGAATGTCAGCAGTGACGTTCGAAGAAGTATCATTAAATTCCTTCGCGGTCCTTCCTGTCAGACAGCAAAGTCGATCGTCGAGATCCGTTAGTTTATTCTCGACTACCGAATTGCTATAAATCATGTACGCGGATTTCGTATCGTCACGAGCGGAAGTTTATATCGAAGGGTGGAGTAAGTTCCGTAACGGGAGTTCCCGTAGCTGTAGCGAGCCGACGTCGCTCGCGGTTTCCGCGGAGGTTCGCTCGCGATTCCGCTTAGACTCGTACCGTTACTCTCGAGAACAGCGGCGAGAGTGATGGGGAATGGAAGTCAGTCAGGCGACGAAGCTCCAAAGGAAGCTCGAGCGATATCCCCGATACCAGGAGGGGCGTAAGCTTAAAAGAAAGAGTACATTTATCGTTCGAGAGCAATTCTCGGCAGCGCAAGAAGTATCGCCACGGAGTCTTTAAAACCGGCACGTTTTTTTTCTTCGGCGAAACACTTGGAAAGATATCTTCAAGGTCGTTAAGTTGCGAGCTCCGGGGGACCCCTGACGTCGCCCCGAGCGGAAGTTTGTCGAAAAGTGGAGCAACTTCTCTAACGGGGGTTTTTGCAGTCCCACGTCGCTCGCGGTTTCCGTGGAGGCTCGCTTGCGATTCCGCTTAGGCTTGTACCGTTACGCCCGAGAATACCGGCGAGAGTGATGGGAAATGGAGGTTAGTCAGGCGATAAAGCTCGAGAGGAGGCTCGGACGTTCACGTTCCAATTGTGGAAGGAAGAGTCGCTCCATCCTCGTTCTTTACCTCGGCGCTCGGCGAAGCGGACCGACCAGGTGGCTCGAAAGGCCCTCTTCTATGTACCCTGAAACAAAGGCGTGTCAAAATAGCTTCCCCGTTGGTACTCTACTAAGTATCCATTTTCTTCGGAAGATCGCATGGCTAAGTATAGAAATCAATTGAAAAGTACCACCCTTAACCTTTAGCGTTCGCTTGGGCTCGGTTACGTCCGAGAGAAATTTCGGATTCCAATATCTCAGAGAAATCTATTCAAGCATGCCTGGACTTTACATTTCCGGGCCATCTACTAATCTCCCTTATATGGAATAACTAATAGAGTACCGATATAGTATGACGCGCATGCGCATTTTCTGGAGGGTGTTCAGAATTGCGAGCGACGATTCTGTATCTATTATCCGTATATATATAAAATATCTAGATGTAAGTAACCATCTTTTCTTTCAAAAATGTCAAGAAAACTACCATTTGCATTCCCTTCTCCTATTTAAAAGTTACGTTGAAGCTGTACGTTTATTCGAATTCCCAGTGTCATGGTGCAGCCAACGCGGAGTTGAGGGGAATCAGGACTCCGTGGCGTGATCGATTGCGTTTTTGGTCCATCGATCCATCGCGCCTGTTCGAGTCCCGCTGCAAC